TCCTAAGGTACAAGTTGACGTCTTAAAGACGTCTTTCTTTGACTAATAAGACGTAAAAATCACGTCAAAATATGACGTCCTCATGACGACGTGCGCGGGTGCAAAATCATGTCTTTTTGACGTCGTGTTATGTCGTCTTAAAGACGTCTTTCTTTAACTAAAAGACGTAAATATGACGTTCATATGACGTCTTCCTATGGTACAAGTTGACGTCTTAAAGACGTCTTTCTTTGACTAGTAAGACGTAAATATGACATCCATACGACGTCTTCCTAAGGTACAAGTTGACGTCTTAAAGACGTCTTTCTTTGACTAATAAGACGTAAAAATCACGTCAAAATATGACGTCCTCATGACGACGTGCGCGGTGCAAAATCATGTCTTTTTGACGTCGTGTTATGTCGTCTTAAAGACGTAGTACAAGACGTAAATATGACGTGATATTTACCAGTCTCTGCTATCAGGGGAGGAGCGGGAGTAAAGAAAGGGTGGGGGGGGGGGGTTGCTGGGTGGAGTCGTCTCGTCAAGGAAGCAATTAGAAAGACACGGGTAACTTATGTTGCTGTGTCGGGTCAGCTGTGCCGGTATTCTTGCTCGATCCTCGTGTACTATATCAAGGCAGCAATTTGAAGTCGGTGAGATGTAGGCCTATATTGTCGGTCGGCCGACAAGTTTTTTCCCTACGAACTGTGACTTTCAGTGGCGGATCAAGGGGGGGCCGAAACGGCCGCGGCCCCCCCCCCCCCCTCCCCTAAAAAAAGAGAAGAAAAAAAGAAAGGCCGAGAAGAGAAGAAAAAAGAGGAAGAGAAAAGAAAGAGAAGAGAAAAGAAAGAAGAGAGAGAGAGAGAGAGAAAGAAAAAAAGAAGAGAGACCCCCCCCCCCCCCCCCCTCCACCTCACTCCCACTCCGGGGTCGGAGGGACCGATTTTGTGTTCCCAAAATTTCCGATAAAGGGTTACTTTTCACGCAACAAAGTCCGGCCCGCACTGACTCTACACACCGAAGATAAAAGGGGTGCTTTCAAACTAAGAGAGGGAACATAGTAAGTACATGCGCATATACCCTAGATAATACTGAGTGGGTGGGGGGGGGGGGTGGGGGTGGGAAGGGGAAGAGAAAAGTCGGGTGAGAAAGGGGGAAAGACAAGGAAATGGCGCTAAGTGACAGTAACGACGAATAAGGGAAAAGCTGTAATCGGGAGATTTGGGGTCATTCCAGAAGGCTTGGGAAACGTTATTGAATAGAGGGGGCCGGGCCGGCCGGCCGCATAAAATCTCGAGCCACGGATACAAAGTTAAACGTTACAAACAGCTGCTTTTTGAAAAAAAAATTGAAAAGGGCACAATGTTTTGGATGTCTTTCAAATAAAAGCTATATACTAAACAGTCAACTTTTAAATTAACGGTATAGGGCCGCTTCACAACTCTTATTTTGCCCTTCATTTTGATTCAGCTCATACCAACTCGCTTGTGCTTATTTGAACTCATGTAGGTAGTGATAATGGACAGCGGCGGCGATCCTGGGCCCGATAGAGAGACACGTCCCCCCGGAAATTTAGATATATAGCTAGAAAGAAATATACATGTAGCGGAAAGAACGTACATATATTGGACTAAAGGATTTTCTAGAATGCATAATTTCAGCATTCTACGTTGCAAAATCTCGCTTGGTCGCTCCGCTCCGTCCTTCGCCCGATAACACAAAACTAAGATATGACGCTCCGGTCGCGATTATTTCATGGTTGGTGTATATACATAGATCTTTTTTTCCCCTTTCATTTCTACTGACCTAATTGTATGCCATCACAATCATGATTGTTTCATTTTCCCTTTAAAGCATGCGTAGCTAGGGGCGGTAGGGGCAGTAAGAGGACATAGGACGAAACAAGGAGCAGACAAAGAAACATTTTGACAAGTCTAAAACGGGACAACAAATCATCTTCTTTCTCTAATGAAACGTTAAGCTTCTGCGCTTTGCGTTGGAGGGGAAAACTGAATTCAGAGAAGGATTAAGAGTCGGGAATGGAACAACGAATTATCCTCTTTCTCTAATAATTTCATTAAACTATAAAAGGTCAGAGCTTCCGCGCCTCGCGCGGAAGGTGGAAAATGAATTCAAACAAGGATTAAGAATCGAGAATGAGACAACGAATCATCTTCTTTCTCTCATAATATTTAATGAAGCGTCAGAAGCTTACGCGCTATACGCGCAGGAGGAGGAAAACTGAAGTCAGACAAGGATTTAGAGTCGAGAATGAAACAACGAATCATCTTCTTTCTCTAATAATTCAATGAAACGTCAAAGCCTCCGCGCTTCGCGCGAAAGGGGAAACTGATTTCAGACAATGATTAACAACCGAGAACGGTACAACGAATCGTCTTCTTTCTCTAATAATTTAATGAAACGTCAAAGCTTCCCCGCTTCGCGCGGGAGAGGGAAGGGGGGGACTCAATTCAGACAAGGATTAAGAGTCGAGAACGGTACAACGAATCGTCTTCTTTCTCTAATAATTTAATGAAACGTCAAAGCTTCCGCACTTCGCGCGGGTGAGGGAAAGGGGGGGGGGGGACTCAATTCAGACAAGGATTAAGAGTCGAGAACGATACTCTTTCTCTAATGATTTAATGAAACGTCAAAGCTTCCGCGCTTTGCGCGGGAGGGGGTATGGAAACTGAATTCAGACAATGATTAAAAATCGAGAACGGTACAACGAATCGTCTTCTTTCTCTAATAATTAATGAAACGTCAAAGCTTCCCCGCTTCGCGCGGGAGAGGGAAGGGGGGGGGGGGGGCTCAATTCAGACAAGGATTAAGAGTCGAGAACGGTACTCTTTCTCTAATGATTTCATGAAACATTAAAGCTTCTGCGCTTCGCGTGTAATGGGGAGGGGGGAGGGGACAGCGAGCTGCCAAATATGAATTTGTTATATCTTTCTCTATATTTTGGTGATAAATAACACTTTCACAAATACATATTATCCTCAAATTTTTGCTCGCTCGCTTCGCTCGCTTCGCTCACTAGCCGAATTGTGAAGACAGAAAATTACTTTTTCGGGCAAGAGGCTTCAGCCCCCCCCCCCCCCCCGATGAAAATGTCAAAAAAAAATTACCGGTATGGTGCTTCTAATATGACCTTGTCAGTATTGGTATGTTAAGTTGAAAAACTGTCTGCGCAATTTTTAAATTTCCGGCCCCCCCCCCCCCCCCTATTGGAAAATCCTGGATCCGCGCCTGACTTTTTATCCGCTGTGACGACTTAGAGAGTGACTACAATACTTGTATTTTTGAAGTTTCACTTTCCTATAATATCAGTTAAAGAAATCAGAGGTTTAACATTTTCGGGAAAACTAAATTCAAACAAGGATTAATTAAGAGTCAACAACGATACGACGAATCGTCTTCCTTTCTCTATATTTTGATGAAACGCCAAAATGTCCGCGCTTCGCGCGGGAGGGGAAAACTTCATTTCGACGAGTCGAGAATGGTTCAACGAATTGTCTAATTCTTTCTCTAATAATTTGAGGAAACGTCGAAGCTTCTGCAATTCGCGCAAAGGGGGGAAAAACTGAATTCAGATAAGGATTAAAAGTCGAGAACAGTACAACGAATATCTTCCTTTCTCTTTATTTTGATGAAACGCAAAAATTTCCGCGCTTCGCGCGGGAGGGGAAAACCTCATTTAGACGAGTCGAGAACGGTACAACGAATCGTCTTCTTTCTCTCATAATTTAAGGAAACGTCAAAGCTTCCGCGCTTTACGCAAAAGGGGGAAACTGAATTCAGACAAGGATTATACAATTCGAAAACGGTACAACAAATCGTCTGCGTTCTCTAATAATTTAAGGAACCGTCAAAGCTTCCGCGCTTCGCGCTAAAGGGGAAACTGAATTCAGACAATTAGGGCTTATTAAGAGTCGAAAACGATACAACGAATTAATCGTCTTCTTTCTCTAATAATTTAATGAAACGCCAAAACTTCCGCGATTAAGAGGGAGGGGAAAACTAAATTCAGATAAAGATAAGAGTCGAGAACAGAACACAACACCGGATCGTCTGCTTTTTCTCAGTAATTTATGAAACGTCAAAGCTTCCGCGCTTTGCGCGGGAGGGTGAAACTGAATTCAGACAAGGATTAACATCGAGGACGGTACAGCAAATCGTCTACTTTATTTAAATGAAACGTCAAAGCTTGTTACCCCACTCAATTGTTTGTGTTTTTGTTTTGCTGATCGGACAGCTAGGGAGGGTGTGTGTTGAGTAAAACAAAATGCTTCTAACCCCCCCCCCCCCCCCACCCCTCCTTAGCGAAATCGGTCGGTGAGATTTTCACATTTGGGGGGCAAAAAAAAGAAGGAAAGAATTGTGCTCGATCAGTCTCACTGCATGAGCATTAATTTTTCCGTTTTCTTTTTTGCCCCTGAAATTTAAAAAACGCGTCGGCCGATGTCTTGTTCAGTGAGAAGAGGGGATGATCCCCTTGAGCAAAAAAAAAAGTGGTAAATTTCTGGTCACAATTTTTTTTCTCCCTTTTTGGGGGCCAGGGGGGGGGGGGGGGCGGGGGGAACCCGCTCCCCCCCCCCCCTGGACCCTGTAGTGAGCTTTTTTTTTTCTTTTCTGGCCCTCGAAATTTGTAAAATTGCATATCGCCTCAATTATCGCCTCAAAATAAATCCTTCGAGAGAGCATTGATGAAACCTATATAATATGTTGACTCCTAATTTAAAAGGGACTTGTCCTAATCGTTAAAATCGAATTTGAATTTTAGTCATAAATAATACCATGTTTTATTAGTACAATAAAGAATGGGACAGCTATAGTCTCAGTTTGTCAAATTTCATTATATCAAACAGATATTTACGATTGAAGTGTTTGGATACGAAATTATCTACAGGAACTTTTCAGCAGTGTACAATGTTCCAAACGATGCACCCTACAATATAGACGCTGATTTTTTAATACTAAATATCTAGCATAAATTGCGCTGCACAAGTGGCATTTCATAGACTATCGCGTTGTACCAAACAGCGCCGCATTTTCCGGTCATATTTCTGTGAAATATCTGTTCCAAAATCTTTGAATTCACAATGTCACTGGCAACAATGACTATAAGAGAGAAGGATCAGATGTATAGACTGATAATTAGGTATGATATATTTTCATTCCGTTGCAAACGTTATTCAATCTAGTGAATTAAGTGATAAAACATGAGCGCCGTACCGTTTTGGGCCATTCAACTTAGTTAGTGCTAGCAAATGATGGTGCAGTGTCACTTCGCGCCGGGTCTGCCGCGAGGCTTCTGCTGGTTTTTCCCTGCTGCTCACTGACTCCAGCTCCAGCGCACGAAGAACCGTGCGCATTGAGTGCTGTACAGTGAGTTTACGAGGTCCCACTGGCCGATCCGTTCGAGTGGCTTCGAATTTAAGTGAGAGAGGGCCTACTGAACTTTTGCCTGGATTACATTTGCCCTGCGATTAGTCTACAACTACGGAGCCCGTATTCTGCCTGTAGAATCTATCCCCTTTTCTGTGCGGCCTCTGTGTGGAGGCAGCTGCAGGAGGGCTGCAGCTGTGGGATTTTCGTACAGATTCACAGGCCTTGCAGCCTTTACGATTTTGTTTCACGAGAAGTTAAACAAATTTGAAAAAATTGTAACCCCGTGCCTTAGCCCGTATACAATGTCGTAGGTCTAGATCTAGGTGGCATTGCACAATTCCCGCACTGATTGTGCAGCAAACGTACAATTTTTGGTGAACATGCATTTTTGTACACAATTGACTTGTACAGAGATTGTAGACTCGTGGGGCATCCGCGCAACCTTTGCACGGAAGCTGCACATGCTCCGTACAATTTCTGTGCCGAGGCTGCGGAGACTGCACGGCTACTGCATTCAAATTGTATGATTTCTGTACAATCTCCAAGCAGCGCAGCCTCTGGCTCTGTAGGATTTGCCCCGGCTTACCCTCGAGGGCCAATGCAATAAATGGCACGATGCTCGTAGATAATGTAGACACAAACATCGTAGCTCGTAGCGTCCTACAACTAATTTATCGTACGGCGCCCGGGGCAAATGTAATCCAGGCATTAAGTGCAACTTAAGTTCAATGGCAATGTCAATACGTAATATTTCGTCACACAAACCAAGGAGATTTTGACATGTCATGCTTTAATAATGAATTAAACAGGTAACGCAATTCACACATATTGTAACTGACGCGACGCACACATATTAAAGGGTAAGAGTGTGGGGAAGGGATGAGATTGAGTTTGAGATTGCACTTTTCATGTGTATTAAATAGATCTATTCCATTTCGTTTCCCTCGATTTTAGTCAACTTCTTCACGATGGTTACCATGAGGTTGCACAGCAGCTGAGTAAGATTGTCTGTGTCCTGTTCCTGATTGCCCACCATCAGATCGTCTTCAGAAAGTGGTACAACTAGGTCTCAGAGCAGAACCAGACAGTAAGCCAGCTTATATCTTATCAAACTACAACCAGCTCTTAAACTGTATGTGTTACAGATACTGACTGGTGGTTTGATAGTTTTATAATTTCAATTTTTCCTCAAGATTGTTTTTAAAGAAAGTATTGACAATATATAAACAAAATTAAAATGAAACATTTCAAAAAGCAGAAAGAAATCGGCATTTTCAGGTGGTGGTGGTTATTTTACCTGACTGCTAACAAAGCATAAGTGCTGGTAAGTAAGCAACCTCTCCGATCCGAGGGACCTGGTAATGAGGATTAATGCCTTACCAAAGGGCACTAGCGCATCGCCTTTGTGTCGAACCCGGGTCACCGGATTACGAGGCCACTGCTCTACCGACTTAGCTATCACGCCTCCTCCTTTTTAAAGATAAACTCCAGTTCTGGTAAAAAAAAAAAAAAATTATTCTCACAGAATCAAACAAAACTTACACTGAATGTTCAAGATTATGTGCCAAACAATTTTGGAAGAAAATGTATACTGGCTGAGTAATGAGCATAGAAAGACAAGGAAATCAAGGTTGTACTAGCTTGTACTAGCTTTCTGTGTACCGTGCTTGTTACTTTACCAAGACTCGGTCAAATTTATTATGATTGTGATGACTCCAGAACCTTGCAGTGCACACCAATACTTACATGCTACATGATCAACTGTATCCTTTCCACACCTTTTCTTTCACAATGCAATCGCATTACCAGTACTAAAGTTTATCTTTAAGTGACTGTTAATTAGTCTGTTAATAATATCTGCTACTTGAATTGATCTTGACAAAAGCTTGAATCTAGTTTACTTTTTTATGAAGTTTATCAGAGAAAAATGTTGCCATAGTTTTTAATAAATGTTGTTGATGGTTTATAGCTTCAATTTGATTTTGGTAATAGTAACAAATTTAAATGCATCAGAACCCTAAGTATAATGATCTCTCTTCTACAGGACATGCACCTATATCAATATCAGACACAGTTGCTCCAGCCACATCTATTGATCTGGACTTTGATACAGAAGTGAGATAAATGTATTATTCTTTATTTTCAAAGGTGCGTTTGAACTTTTTGAGGTAAAATGAATTTGTTTTCAGTGAGCATATTTCTTTAAGCTTGCAAGGAATTGATAGTAATGTTGAGCAAACGTATTGTTTTTCTAACGTGCTGGTTAGAAGAACATTTGCCTCTTGTATCTTTGCTTGTTTATAATTTGTTTGTTTGATTCATTTTCAATTTGGTTTGAGGAAACGATTGAGAGAAAATTGTGTCCTGAACAATCAAAATATGTCAACTTGGCAAATTTCTTTTAACAAATTTGAGGGGGAAAGAAAGTCATATTTTATCTTGATGCACACTCATCTTATTTGTGATAGATGTTTGTAGATGTTGCAAGTACCAGTACAGTCAGGTGCACTTTTAATTATTGATTTACAATCTCCCTTTTGTTTTCTCCCTTGCAGTACAAAGTCAAGCACCTGAAGCAGCCCAGTACGAGACTTGTTATGTCACTGCTCACAAGGGTCCCTGTCGTGTAGCAGCATGGAGCAAGGACGGTCAGTTTAGTTCTTGTTATTGTATTAAATTGTACCAATCCTTGTGATATCACCTTTTTTTTTTTTTCCCCGGTTAAGCCAAATTAAGTTTGTTTTATCATGTGCCGCGATTTGAGAGTTCACGTACTGCTGGCATTGAATGGCTGCATGATCGAGCAGCGAATTTATATTCACTTTTTTGTACAGATTTACCGCATATTTCCTGTTTCACTGCCGCTTCATGTGCCTGTCAAAGGTACAGATTTCTTATTTTCGTAGGGATACCGTGCTAGAAATTCCTAATTCTTATTTTCAAATGTTAGCAAGTATGTATTATTGATCAAACATCTTTTACCTGTTTTACTAACCCTAGGTAAATTTGTGATCAAAGTGATTGGTAATAATTTGCAGTGAAAATGAAAGTGTGTCCGACAACATCTAGATGACAAATTGTATTTGACCGTGTATCATTTATTTTCTAGTGCCAATGTGCACATTGTATGTGGATGGTTTATAAATGGTAATGAAACAGTTTCAATAAAGTTAGCCTTTGACAAGACTTGTACCTTGATTGAACTGCATCAGATACAATATGCATGTTTCAAGACTTAAAGGTAACTGAAGTTTGAAAGGAATTTGATTTCCATCCTCTATATTCTTGCAGGTCAGCTGATTGCCACAGGATCAAGTGATGCTTCAATCAAGGTATTATCATTAACCCGTCGAATACTGAATTGTATAGGTCCCATAGGCTTAAAGATAAACTTGTGTTCTGGTAATGCGATTGCATTGTGAAAGAAAAGGTGTGGAATGGATCAGAAACAGTTGATCATATAGCATGTAAGTAATGGTGTGTAATGCAAGGCTCTGGAGTCATCAAAATCATCATAAATTTGGCAGAGTCTTGGTAAAGTAAAATCACTTACACAGAAAGATGTATATGGGACATCACACATGGTGTCGGGGCTAGTACTACCCTGATTTCCTTATCTTTCTATGCTCATTACTCAGCCAGTATACATTTTCTTCCCAAATTGTTTGGCACATGACATTTATTTGTAATCTTGAACATTCAGTGTAAGTTTCGTTAGATTCTGTGAGAATTCATTTTCTTTTTTTAACCAGAACTCAAGTTTATCTTTAACACAGGGACCACCAGGTTCCCATAAGCAAAGGTTAACCCAGTACCTATGGAAGCTGGATGGTTTCTTTTCAAACCTATCAACTATGGGAATGAGAGATCAGACCAGTTTACTAACGTATTCAAATGTTATGCGTACTTTTTATACAAAGCTTGTTCTTGACAAACTGAAAGCTTTACAGAGGCTTGCCTGACATGTCGACATATAATGTAGGATATAATGTATGCAGACTTGATTCCAAGTATTGTAGTTGATTCATCAATTAGAGGTTAACGGAATACCTCATCACTAGGTCCCCAGGAAAGAAAATGTTATTAAACTTGTCTGTTCATTTGTCAGTGGGTTAGAGCAAGATGATAATTTGCATTCCAATATCTACTAATAAACCTGTTTACTATGTATTTCAATCTGTGCATGGTTCTCTCGTTAACCCTCGTTACCAGCCATCTTGTTCACTTGCTATGTTGGAGAAGTCTCTGGCAAGCTTTTCTTTTGTCAAGAGATTTTTTAGTTTTAGTGCATATGCATAAAACCAGTGAACAGGTCTATTTCTCTAAAGAAAAATTCAAAGACGTGTATTGTGGTGGAAGAGATCTTTTATAGCTTCCTAGATGTGTCTGGATAGTGAAATATCAGGTAGTCTTTGAGTTCTCGCAATGTCTTTGGGACTTGAGTTAAGAAGGAGTAATCTAAACATTGGGAAAGGATGTAAAGTGCCAACCCTGGACCAAATACTGTCTCTTACCCTAAAGCTAACCTATCCCAATTGCAACCTTAACTCTAACCCTAAAACTAATCTAACCCAATTGCTACCCTAACCCTATCTCTAAAACTTACCTTACCCAATAGCGACCCAGTAAAGGCCCAAGCAGTTGTCATTGAAATATTTGTCAGATCACCATTGTAGCTTCAAGTAAATGATTGTTATTCTTTTGATTATTAGATCCTGGATGTGGAGCGTATGTTAGCCAAGAGTGCTGCTTCTGCCCCTACCACAGACACAGTGGAAAGCCATCCTGTTATCAGAACCCTCTATGATCATGTCGATGTAAGTAGTTTCAGCTGTTGTCTTTTGATTGCTAAACTTGTATAAGTAGAACAACATTTTGTCTCAGTGATGCTCAGGTCATATTGATTGAAGGAGGGATGGTATTAACGAATCAGGAGCTGCAAAGATGTGTATATTTCTACTCAAAATGATCACTAGATGAAGCAATCTGTATAATAATACAATCCAAAAAATTGAATCACAGCTATCTGGTATAGGCTTAATAATAACACATTACATTGTATAATTCCTCTCAAAGAATTTTATTGAGGAAAAAATGGCAAGATACAGAGTAAATACAGCAGAACTTCACATGTTTAGTTCAGTGCAAATATATATTGTAGTATAAACTAGATGTCATGGGTAAACAAAGTCATTTTAATCCACTTCATTGTTTAAAGCCATACTGTACTAGAAGCACAACCGCACATCCCCTCATGGGCCATCTCAGGTCAGCTGTAACTCACTGCAGCAGCGCTGTTGGTTGTCTTGTCTGCAAAGTGGAAATTAGGTATTGGGTTTAAAATGCACTGTTGTCAAGTTGACCATGAGATGGCGCTGTGCAATTAAAAGTATGCTAGGGAAGAAAGCTCCATCAGTTAAGTATAAGCCAGTTTATAGTTGCTGTCTGAGCATGAGCAGATAAAGGTCATTGCAGACCAAATTGTGAAATACACAGAGACGAAATACTGGATATGTGCTCATGACAGTTATGTAATTATTATTCATTCATGCACAAGCAGTGCATGAATGATACACAGGTGGAAGTATTCTTTGAAAAGGGGAAACAAAGGCTATTTATGTACAACCTCCATCGCTGTAGGAGGGATTATTTCAAAATGTACAAAGTTGGACCTCTTCATGTTTTGAAGATCTGTGGATATTCAGGGTCGTGAACTGGTCTTATTGCTTTACATCCACAGGACATCACGGCTCTTGACTTTCACCCATCCTGGCCTATCCTGGTGTCAGGAGGTAAAGACTGCACCGTCAAGCTTTTTGATTTCTCAAAGTCTACCGTCAAGAAGTCAGCCAAGTCTATCCAGGAGGTCTCTCCCATCAGATTTACTACATTCCATCCGTGTGGAGACTTCTTACTGGTCGCAACTGAACACCCAACACGTGAGTTCTTCTTGCTTTGTAGTCATTTGACAATGATGATTTGTTTTTCTTCTTTTTTCTAGGTGTGTGTGTTTTTAATCTGTCAATGATAGATGTACAATTAAAGATAATCTGAAAGTTTGAGTGAAAACAGACCATTATTAATAAAACAAATTGTGACTATATTATTACAATTTTGGTGAATGTAAATTGTCACAGAGCAATTGATTGGCTCTATATACCATTTCAGACATTAAACTGTTGAAAAAAATTTAAAGCCTGTCTTGCTTCTGATTTTCGTGGAAAAATGGTTGGAAAATTTTACTATCAGAGTGTGCTGCACAGTGATGCCCTCAAAGAAAACCAGAGATATCTTTGTGGTTTGAGATATTTTTCAGGGTCTTTTGCATGCTAGAGCGAAAATACAGTAGAAGGAATGTAATAAGTAACATTTCATATAAAATTTACAGTTTTTTCATCAACCTTCAACATTGTTACCAAGTCACTTGATTTTATACTTGATTGAATGTTTGTTTGTTTTCTAGTGAGACTTTATGATGTGAATACTGCTCAATGCTTTGTGTCTTGCCATCCCAATGACCAACATAAAGGCATGCTCAATATGGTAAGTTATTCACATCAATCATTATTTAAGTTACTTTATTTCATATACCAACATACTAAGTTTGGAATTTCCAGGGCTCTCCTGCTTTCTATCATGTCTTCATTCATATAAAGTCCACAAGGGCATTACATGCTGAAAGAATGGAAAAGCTGCTGGTGTTAATAGCATTCTTCCTACATCTGCCTCTGTCTGACCTCCCCCCCCCCCCCCCCCCCCCCCCCCCCCTCTCTGGCTGAGTAATGAGCATAGAAAGATAAGGAAATCAAGGTAGGTAGCCCCGACACCATTTGTGTAGTCCCATATACATCTTTCTGTGTACGGTGTTTGTTACTTTACCAAGATGGGCCATATTTATTATGATTCTGATGACTCCAGAACCTTGCAGTACACACAAATACTTACATGCTACATGATCAACTTTTTCTGATCCATTCCACACCTTTTCTTTCACAATGCAATCACATGACCAGAACTCAACTTTATCTTTAAACTTATACAGATGGAGTACAGTCCGCTTGGCAATATGTATGCCTCCTGTAGTAATGATGGAGCTATCAAACTCTGGGATGGTGTGAGTAACAGGTGTATCAATACACTCAAAGACGCCCATGGGGGGAGCCCTGTCTGCTCAGTTAGATTCTCAAGAAATGGAAAGGTAAGAAGGATCAAGAGTATTATGTTTTAAAGCCCCACTGCACTATTCATAGCTACTTGCGCCCTCTTTATAGCAAACAACACCTAAGCGGTGACCATTGGTCCCCCGTGGTCTCCTTTTTCTTACCTTAATCGAGAGCTGATGTGATGAGATAAGGGAGGTCTAATCTCTCCTGGCCGAACTAGTGCAGATAGCCTTTTGGTTTGGTTTGGTTTGGTTTTATTTTCCGTATAAAAAAATTCAATACATACAAGAATACAATTTATTGATTTACCAATAGAAGCCATTGGACAAATTATACAAATCAAGAATTAAAAAAACGGCTGGAAAGCTCTATTCAGAGCCATTATTAAAATGGCTCTGTTCTTCCAGAGGTCCAGAAATAATCAAACATAGAAATAAGACACAAAATATTACAAAAATATAATATTACAAACGCACTATCTACAACCCCTCCCAAACCCTCTATAACACATTATGAACACTTCTGTTACCATCCCTCCCCCCTCCCCGTTTACACCAAAAGTTTATACATCAAAATCTAGCATCCATTCATTTAGGCCCTGTCGAAATAAATTGAGTGTGTTCGGTCTACGTAAGTTAATCGGTAATTCATTATATAATTTAGATCCGCGATAAAAAAATGTTCGTTTACAATAATTAGTTTTAGGTTTGGGCAAGACTAAGTTATTGATATTTCTTAGGGCATAATTGGTTTCTTTGTAAAAGAGATTATTCTGCATATAGTCTGGAGTTAAATTATGGAAAATCTTATACAGCATTATGTACATGTGCTTTTTACGTCTGGTTTTTTAGGGATTCCCATTTTAAGAGGTCGTGAATTTGATATGTTGAAGTATGATTATGAGGGTTTATCTTAAGGATTATCCTACCAGCCCTATTTTGAAGTTTTTGAAGTTGGTCCAGATAATTTTTTTGGGAGGATTGCCATATAATGTCAGCATAATCAAAATGAGGAATGACTATTGATTGATAAATTAGATTAAGAAAAGATTCATTTAAAATGTGTCTCAGCCTTCCCAAAAAGCTTACCATCTTTCCTACTTTCTTAATTACTTCACATAAATGTAAGTCCCATTTTAATTCAGAGTCTATATTCATTCCTAAGTATTTAATGTTCTTAACCTGATTAATAACATTACCACCTAGTTTTAAGTTTAATGTTTGATGTTTATGAAGCATTGACTTCGTTCCCATTAACATAGATACTGTTTTTTCACAATTTATATAAAGTTTGTTATGGCACATCCAATCAGATAGCGAAATTAATTCATTATTAAGAACAGACTGTACAACAATAGGGTTTACATTTGAGAAATAAATAACTGTGTCATCTGCATATAAATGCAGATGACAATAATGAAAAGCATTAGCTAAATCATTGATGTAAATTAGAAATAAAATTGGACCAAGTATGGAGCCTTGAGGCACACCATACGTTAATATCAATTCATTTGAAGAAACATTATTTATCGAAGTAAACATTTTACGGTTAACCAAATATTCATAAAACCACTTATGCATTATACCATTTATACCAACATTAGACAATTTTCTCAAGAGAATTCTGTGATCGACCAAATCGAAGGCTTTTCGCAGATCGACAAAAAGTGCTCCTGTATATAAACCCTTATCAACTGATTGAAGCCAGTCGTCCGTAACCTTTGTAAGAGCGGTACAGGTAGAATGTTTCGGCCTGAATCCCGATTGATCTTTAGTTAAAATGTTGTTTTTTTGCAGAAATTGGATTAAGTGTTTTTGTACAATCTTTTCTAATATTTTGGACAAACACGTTAATAAAGATATCGGTCTGTAATTATTGGCTAAAGCTTTATCACCCTTTTTATGTAGGGGGATGACCTTAGCCATGAACACTGATGTAGTTGTGGATTTTTTTTTTTTTTTTTTTTTTTGGGGGGGGGGGGAGGGGGGGGGGGGGGTGATGGTAGCCTTCTTCACCTAACAACAATTTCAATGATAAATTTACAAATACTCATATACAATATACATGTACGCTAAAACCACAAATATTGCTAGCATTAATCTCTGTCCAATTTCACTAGTGATTCAGGCTCATAAATGTGTCCGGTTCATGAAAATTCATAATGCAAGTCATTGAATCACAACTGACACTTATGTTTGCAATTTGGGAAAGGTTTTGTGTTTACCGTCCAAACACATGGTCTTCACTGAATTAGGATCTCATAATTTGTTTTTCTTTCTTTTCTTTTCTACCCTTCCCCATAGTATGTTCTATCCAGTGGAAAGGACTCGCTGGTGAAACTTTGGGAGATCGGTACCAGTCGAACACTCATTACGTATACAGGAGCAGGGTCTGAACATATGAAGACTACAACGCAGGCTGTCTTTAATCATACAGAGGATTATGGTAAGGACAATGAGAAAGAGAGAGAGATGGGGGAGGGGGGAGACAAGGAGATGCAGTATTAGGTTTTTGTTTATAAGCATGGGGTAGGAGGGTGGTACAGAACTAGAGGACACTCATAATTGATACAGAGCCAGATCTGAGCAAATGAAGACTACAACAAGGGCTATCTTCAGTCAGACAGATGCTTATAGTAAGGATTGAGAGAGAGGTGGGGGGGGGGGGGGGGGGGGGTCAACAGGGAGATGTGGCATTAGGCATTTGGGTATAGGGCTTGGGTAGGTGTTGTGGAACTGTTCAACACTTAATACGTATATAAGGTCTAGCTCTATGGTCGTACATGATGCTGCATGGAATGGCCACAAGACTCATCCTGAATTTTCTCACCTTGTATTTGTTGTTTTTCTTCTATGTAGTATTCTTCCCTGATGAGAAGACCTTGAGTTTATGTTGCTGGGATTCCAGAAACGCAGAGAGGAACAAGCTGCTATCTCTAGGTAAGTCATGTCTCTAATCTTAGTAATTTGGGTTTTGGAACATGTGTACAGAACGTGATTGACAGCATTTACAGTGTACATAGAAAATTGGCTGTCACAAGCAGATGCATCAAGAAACATTGTTCTCGTACCTGTATAGGTGTCCATGGACAACATGGCAATGTGCTTTAATTATTTCTGTTAACTAGATTACATGTTGTTTTTCAAATCTTCATTTAAAAAAAAAAGAATATAGTGATTTTTACTTGCAAAATTTCCTAATTTATCCCCTCGCCCGATTTTTTTTTCTTTCCATTTAAAGTAGTGTTTCTTTGTTTCTAAGTTTATAGGACTTTTGTGTCTCAGTCTAACCACCTTAATTTAACACTCAATGGCGATTGGGAGCACCAGGAGTGCCAAATCTGACAGACATCAGTGCTATGTACAAGAACCCACTATTGTTATTATTATTATTATTATTCAGTTGTCTCAGAATAAAACCTACCTGGTATTCACTGGTTTTCTTTGCTCAAGTTTTTTACATGTATCTGTTTTGATTTTGTTTTCAATTCCAGGTCACAACAATGTAGTAAGTTGTATCATCCATTCACCTACTGGACCAGGCTTTGTGACGTGTAGCGATGATTTCAGAGCTAGATTCTGGTACCATCGAACAGACGCTAACTAAACACCAGGGCATCACTTCACATAACCAGCCCTAGTCAGTGGTAGAGCAGCGGTGCCGTAACCAGGAAAACCCGGGTTAGAAACCAAGGCATCAATCCTTATTACCAAGTCCCTCAGAGAGGACTTAAAGCTCTTGGTCTCCTGAATTCGTACTTGCTTTAATACAAACATGCAGATGATTTCTTAGGAGTCAGGTAAAATATACCATGAAACCATGAAGGTCTATGTGTGTAGACATCTGTTGAAACGCATTATAGGATTAATGCACACTTCTATTGAATGTCCATGAACATAGGACGATTTAAAAAAAATGTCCTCTGTTGTCTTTGTCTTTGTCAATTTATTACAATCTTGTGTATATGATGTTGTGTGTAAAATGTTGATAAACAGCTGCATTCCTGAGCCCTGTCTTATAAAAAGTTGCATTTGATCCATATTGATTGAAAATCCTCCTAATCAATCCCAAACTTAAAAAACCCTTTAGTCCATAGATCCCATTGACATGAATATGAGATCAGTTTAAATCACTCACTGCTGTTTATGGAACTGGGGCACTACTGTCATTGAAAACCTGACAATGTCATGGAATTGAGGATGAATCTTACACCAACCCTCAATTTACCAGGAATCCTTCAATGAATTAGTTTCACATCATTAAATGACCAGAAACGTTCACATGAACTCCATTTTAAAAGCTTTTGCAAGTGGTCCAGATCGGCAAAAGTTTACTGCTGCGAAATGTTTATTTTATTCAAGATGAACGAATGTTTTATTTGTTTTGTATTTGTCACATCTTTTCAGATCTGTAGTTGCTAATGCCTGTGATGTGTGTAGGCTATGTATGTAGCAGTTTAGAGGACAAACATTTAGCAGGGACGAACCCTTGGTTAGTCATAAAGCAGAATACTGCTCCTCATAATGATAACGATAATAGTAATAAAAGGCATTTATATAGCGCCCTCTATCTAGACAGTTCTATTACGAGGCACACAAGAAAAATAGAAAGAAGTACCAACTGTAGCTGCTTCTGACTCTGCCAGAGACTGTAAAGGTGACGTAGGCTATGGGCTACATGTACCTATTTGGAATCTGTTTGGCAAAACAGCTTCAGTACCTAAACTAGGATGATTTTAGATAATGCTGCTGGATTGACCATCATCATGCACTAGGACATGCACAGAGCTAGAGCTATTTTATTCAAGTGAATTAAATGCCTGACTGTCGTAAATTCTGACCTGCGTGTACCCTTTGGACAGTTTTTGCTATTTTCTAACAATTTGCATTAAAGGATGCCCAGTAGAATGCAAAAAAAGAAATCATTGCAGCTTGGATGAGCACATGTTTTTATTTTTATTCCATAATTTTCAGTGCTATTGAGATTATGAGCATGTTTTATGATAATAATTTCAGGGGATGAATTTAATTTATTTTTCAATTCAGTATCTATTATTGCATGCCACAAACAACAAGTTAATTAAATTTCAAGGTTTATTAAAACATGACATCAAAGCTGCATAGCTGAATTGCTATAAATATAGGTCATATACAATTATGAAACATGCATGATAAACATCTGTAGAATTACAATCAATACAATTTGGTGTATTTACATTTAAATGTATATCAGAATTGATATCAAACAATATTCATTGATGTCAAGTTTACAATTTGTAAAAAATATTTGAAATGATACAACAAAAAACAAGTTTAAATTGTGTATTCTCCTGGATGGCTTGAAATAAGTACTGGCTGGAGAGTTGTCCAGGGAGTAGGGTGCACACTGAGAGTTCAGAATGACTTGATACCAATAATACGCTGCAAAACACCTGAGTTTATTATATACACTTTTTTTTGCCTTTTGGTAAAATTCTGCTGATATAATCACTATTTCTATGTCATCTATGTTTTACAAACCAAGGAAAACATGGCAGAAATGTTCCAGTAAAATGAATTTCCATTTTTGTTAAAGTTGGTTTAGGTTTGGCCATTTTCTGGGTCTGGATGATATTGCTCATTTTTTCTGCTTTCCTCTCAATTCTTGATCATTGCACAATGTACATGTATTCTGTCACAGATCTTTGTATTTTTGTAAATAAATTGTAAAAAATTTTCATATGCAATGCAGGTTAACAATAGTCTTTCATCCTAAATATTGGTTTTCAAAGCTTGAAATGTTAATGACAATTAGCTGCTGGTCTTGTGTACTGTGTGAACATTGATTCGTTTGAGTTCTGGTCATAATGATTTTTGTTTTAATTTTCAAAAAAAATTAAAAACAAGTTCACTTTTAAGTGAGGTTTAATGCTTTAAAGGTGGTTTCTCCCTTTTGCAGGCTGAAAATATAAACTTGTGTAAATCCTACGATAAACAAGATATAATACCAACTAGGAAATGCCCTTAAAATGTCAATGCCCTTGTGGACTTCACACAAATGAAGACATGATAAAGGGAAAAATAACAGATTTTTTCCCCGCTAGATTGACTGGACCTTTATGCAATCTGACATTTTCCAATTAAGTACTGATATCAAAACTGCAGGCTTTAGCCTTTAAGCTTAATGAACGCTGTCTAGCTGTCAAAGCTTTTTCGCCAATTACATGTTTAACCCGCGCTCTACATAGCGTAATTACTTTGATAAAAAGGTTTGGAACAGACGCCTTTTGTCCCTTTTTCCTAATTACTGAGTATTAATGTGCATGCATGTATATCTCGATCCATTTTTGAGACAGTTGCCATGACAACGCCATCAAGGGGAAAAGAAGCGGATACGTTATTCACATTCAGACTAAATTTTGTCTGAATGAGTGATGCAAGGTGATGATTATTAGGCCTATTCAAGAGGCACACAAGTAAGCTCCAACTGACGATGATGACGACGATGATGATGAAGATGATGATGAAGATGATGATAATGATGATAATGAAGACGGTGATGATGATGATGAGAACAATAATGATGATGATGGTAACGAAGATGATGATATTGATGATGATGATAATGACAGTGATGATGATGATGATGATGATGGTGATGATGATAAAGGAAATGATCGAGCGAATAGACTGCAACAGATATAGTAGACGAGATGAGTTAAAGTTAGATCCTTTGAATGGGAAACCATTTAAATAAAAAACATACAAAACATGTTGTGATTTTAAAAAAAGACAATAAATAAATAAGGGGAATTACCAATGTAAGTTTGACAATGATGATATCACTTGCATTTCATCGACGAGATATTACCGCGCCTCCTCTATTTCATTGGTGGCCCCTCCATGTCCTCAGTGGCCCCTTCATATTACCGAGGGCCCCTACATATCACCTCCGGCCCCGCCATTACGTCAGTAGCCCCCACATGTCAAAGTTACGTGGCCCCTCGATCCTAGTTCTCGGTGGCATCTAAATATCATCGGTGGCCCCCATCGATTCATGTTTTGGGTGGCCCCTCAATGTTATCGATGGCTTCCGGACTCCGCTAAATCACCCATTAGTGATCCCTCTGAACTTGACATTTCAATTCAGTTTAGTTCAGTTCAGTTCATTCACTCAAAAGCAAACATAAAGTACACGATACGTTAGGTTTGTTGCATAAGCACATTTGATTTGATTTGATATGAATTTATTTCCGTATACAAGAAGTACAATAATCGAAACATTACACAATATGTACACATATTATAGAAGAGATAAACGACTGGATGGCTCTACTCAGCATCCACTTACAAGGTGGCGCTGCCAGGGGCGTCGCTAGACTTTTTTTCAGTGGGGGGGGGGGGGGGTGTAGACAGTGGCGGATCCAGGGGGGGGGGGGGGGCCAGGGGGCCGGCCCCCCCCCCTTGAGAAAAAAAATCATGTAAAATCACGGCCCCCCCCCCCCCCCTGGCGCTCAAGGGGGGGGGGGGGTGCAAATTGAAATTTGTTTGAGGATCAAAAAAACAAAAAAATGTGCTCACAAAGATTTGACGTTTCATTAAATTATGAGAAAAAGCAGACGATTCGGTGTACTGTTCTCGACTCTTAATCCTTATCTGAATTCAGTTCTCCCCCTCGCGCGAAGCGCGGAAGTTGTGGCGTTTAATTAGAGTATTAGAACAAGTAGAAGATTCGCCGAAGCGTGCTCGACTCTTAATCCTTGTCTGAATTAAGTTTCTCCCCCTCCCGCGCGAAGCACGGAAGCTTTGACGTTTCATTAAATTATGAGAAAAAGCAGACGATTCGGTGTACTGTTCTCGACTTTTAAACCCTAATTGTCTGAATTCAGTTTCCCCCTTTAGCGCGAAGCGCGGAAGCTTTGACGTTTCCTTGAATTATTATAGAAAGAAAACGATTCGTAGCACCGTTTTCGACTCTTATTAAGCCCTATTCATCTGAATTCAGTTCCCCCCCCCCCCCTCTCGCGAAGCGCGAAAGCTTTGACGTTTCCTTAAATTATTAGAGAAAGAAGACGATTCATTGTACCATTTTCGACTCTTAAACCATATTAGTCTGAATTCAGTTCCCCCTTCCCGCGCGAAGCGCGAAAAGCTTAGACGTTTGATCTAATTATTATAGAAAGAAAACGATTCGTAGCACCGATTTCGACTCTTATTAATCCCTATTCATCTGAATTCAGTTCCCCCTCCCCCCTCTCGCGCGAAGCGCGAAAGTTTTGACGTTTCCTTAAATTATTAGAGAAAGAAGACGATTCGTTGTACCATTTTCGACTTTTAATAAGCCCTATTTGTCTTAATTCAGTTTTCCCCTCTCGCGCAAAGCGCGGAAGCTTTGATGTTTCCTTAAATTATTAGAGAAAGCAGACGAATCGTTGTACCGTTTTCGATTCTAAGCCCTATTTGTCTGAATTCAGTTTCCCCCTCTCGCGCGAAGCGCGGAAGCTAGGACGTTTCCTTAAATTATTAGACAAAGAAGACGATTCCGTTGTACCATTCGCGGCTCTTAACCCTAATTTGTCTGAATTCAGTTTCCTTAAATTATGAGAAAAAGCAAATGATTCGTTGTACTGTTCTCGACTCATCTTAATGAAGTTTTCCCCTTCCGCGCGAAGCGCGGAATTTTTAGCATTTCATCACAATATAGAGAAAGGAAGACGATTCGTCGTACCGTTGTTGACTCTTAAACCATGTTTGAATTTATTTCCCCGAAAATTTTATAGGAAAGTGAAACTTCGAGAAAATACAGGTATTGTAGTTGTAGTCACTCGCGAAGTCGTCACAGCGGATAAAAAGTCACAGTTCGTAGGGAAAAAAACTTGTAGGCCGACCGACAATATACATCTCACCGACTTCAAACTTCTGCATTGATATAGTACACTATAGGATCGAGCAAGAAAACCGACACAGCTGACCCGACACAGCAACATATTTACCCGTGTCTTTCTTGCTCCCTCGACGAGACGACTCCACCCAACAACCTCCCTCTCTCTTTTACTCCCAATCCTCCTCTCTCAGGCTCTTACATCCCCTCTCTCTCTCCTCTCGTTCATCCCCCGTTTCTTTTTTCCACTTTTACTCCTTTTTCTTCTTTTTTTTCTTTTTTTTCTTCTTTTTTTTCCTTTCTTTCCTCTCCTCCCTCTTTTTTTCTTTCTTTCCTCTCTTTTCTTTCCTTTCTTTTCCTTTCTTTCTTTTCTTTTCCTATTCTTCTTTTCTTTTCTTTCCCTTTCCCTCTCTTTTTTCCCTCCCCCTGTTCTCCTTTTTCCCGACGGCAGCGCAATTTTACCGACAATATCCTGACAGGTGGGGGGTGTCGCACCCCCCCCCCTTTGGCGACGCCCCTGGGCGCTGCTCCACTGAGGGGTCCAGAATTTGAAACAAATATATAGCATTATGAAATCGAATGTCACTAATCACAAATGTATACTTAAACAGAGATATATTACAATGCAATGTAATGTACAAAAAGTAACAACCTAAGTACACCCTGAACATTTATTAAAAGCAACACCTTAAAATACACTAAAAGCAGCACTCTATAGTAGGAAAGCATCGGCAAAGAAAACAAAACACACAAAAAAACACAACAACAACAAAGTTGTGAAATAAATGTGTCCCAATAATTAAGGGAAACGCTAATCAAGCGCATCGGGACAATCATACCATTATACAAATAATACACGGCAGTGAGGCTTATAGTAAGAATTATCCACACGAGGTACCTTTGGAACAGTCTAACTGACACGCCAGATGCGATATCCGAGGGTGTTTCGACTGTTTCGAAGGTATCGAGTGTGTTACGTCAGGCAATGAAACTTATTTCTTTTCTGCAAGTCAACACATTTGAAGCTTGCTGGATTTGACATCCGTCCTCTGTGAGGGTATCGTGGTATAGTGGTTCATTCACTTGACTGTCAATCCCTGGGTTGAGATTTGAATCCTAGCCCGGCATTGACGTCCTTTGGTCAATCATATCATTATTAGTATTACTTTATTATTATTATTGTTGTTATTATTATTTTGAATTATTTTATTATTATCATTATCATCAGCTCACATTTCATTAAACATAACTATAATTCCTACTATTCTTTCGCGTTTTCATGAAAAGGACACGATAATTAATTAGGGCCTACTCTTTGCCTGTTTTTCACTTTTTGCATGTTAATTATCTTGGCAGCTGCTGATCGAAAATTCTTGTTGCTCCACAAGAAAATGTAAGGCATTGAAGCGCTATAGACTGGAAAGAGATACGCAAACTTACTCAGCTTCAAAACGATATCCCAGTCAAGGACATCTGTCATAGATAGGATAAAAGGGACATACGAAACGATCAGAACAGTATACATGATGAACATCATCTTAAGAAAACGTACTTCACTTTCGGCCATGCCGTGTTTCCTAAGGTTTGCTTCCTTTTGGACATCCCGTCGAGAACTTGATGAAGAGCAACGCTGAGAACATGTCACCTCTATATCCTTACGAGTGTCCGCTTTGTGAACTCGTGACTCCTCATCGAGTTTGTCTGCGCTGTCGTTTTTGATCGTATGTCGCGGTGTGATTTTATTTTCTTCATCTCTTGTACAAGATGGTCCAGGGTGGACAAGCGACTCGTCATGGCGCTCCAGAGCTACTGTTTGGTCGGGTAGATCTACAGTAGTTCCGTGTGTTTCTAGCTGTTCCTTGATCATGTTGATGTCAGTACTAAGTGGAGAAACTTGTTTTTCCATTCGCTGCCTGTGCACTCGGATTTTACAAAGGGTGATGAAATGCATCAGGGGAACGATGGCAAGAGCCAATAAAAAACAAAGTAAGAATACGTTACTC